GGATGATGTTGATGAATTTTCGAATGTTGTACCATCCTTGCATCCCTGGGATGAATCCCACTTGGTCATGGTGTATGATCCTCTTGATGTATTTTTGAATTTGGTTTGCTAATATTTTGTTGAGTGTTTTTGCATCTATGTTTATCAGGGATATTGGTCTGTAGTTTTTTTTTTGTGGGTGTGTGTGGTGTCTTTGCCTGGTTTGGGTATTTGAGTGATGCTGGCTTCATAGAATGAGTTTGGAAATATTCCCTCCTCTTCTATTTTTTGGAAAACTTTAAGGAGAATGGGTATTATGTCTTCTCTAAATGTCTGATAAAATTCAGCGGTGAAGCCATCTGATCTGGGGGTTCTGTTCTTGGGTAGTTTTTTGAATACCAAATCAATTCCGTTGCTCATAATTGGTCTGTTTAGGTTTTCTGTTTCTTCCTGGGTCAGTCTTGGAAGGTTGTATTTTTCTAGAAAATTGTCCATTTCTTCTAGGTTACCCAGTTTGTTAGCATATAGATTTTCATGTCCTTACTTTCTTGCAAACACAGCTATATACTTAAAAGGAGGTTTTCTCTGTTACCTGGCATCCCTAGATGCTCTGTTTTAGGAGGGTTTTCAAGTGCTATTTATGTATGACCTCTCTAGATAGAAATACAAGTGCTCTTCAGTTTTTACATTGGTTTTTAAAATCATTTTAATACAGAGTTATTTTCCTCCATAGGAGCTTGAACAGTCTGCTAAAGAGCAAGACAAAGAGTCAGAGAAGCAAGTTCTGCTTCAGGAAGTGGAGAATCACAAAAAGCAGATGCTCAGGTAGGTGGGGCTTGGCCTCCTGCCACTGTCCTCTGCTGGGTCACTTGTTCCCTGGGAGAATTGTGCATGGTTTTGTCTAATACAGCTGACTAATGACTTAATTGTGTCATTTGTGCACAAACTGAATGTTCTTTCTAGATCAGAGTGATTGTCAGAGTAGGGGAGAAGCAGGACCTATTCGGTAGGTAGAACTGTGCAGTTTATGAAAGCATATTTAACATTATACTATATTTTATATTTTTAAAACAAAACCCAAAAATGTTTCCTTTTGTAATACAAGGTCCATTTTATGTAAGGATAATTGATACCAGAAAAGTCCACTTAAAGTAAACCACTTAGGATGGACCAAAATTTATAAAGTTTAGAAGGGAACTTTATCTTAAAAAACAAAACAAAAAATGTAAATAAGCTTATATATGTTAAGTAAAATTGAGGTTACTGCAGCTGTATGCTAATCCTTGATTGTATAACTGAAGGTACATGCTGTTTTTCGGTATTGAATTGGGGGACTTTTCCAACAAAATTGTCTGATGGTGTGAAACAGTGCCTGCCTCTTCACATTTGACTTGTGCACCATAATCATAAAGAGGGTTGCTGCAAAAATATTTGAGGGCTCCATCAACTCTCCCAATCCCCTGGGAGCTGGATCATTGTCTTGAAGCCCCTGCTAGGTCATCACCTACCTAGGTGTTCTCTTTATCTTTTTCAGTTGGTCTAACTCTGCCAGATCTATATTTGTCTGTGGCTTTGCTTCTGATATAAGTACTTCTCTAGCATCCTCCTCGCCAGCAGCTGTGTTTATAATGAGGAGATGGGGGCAAGGTGGAGGCTAGTGTAATGTATGGAAGGGACGTGCAGAGTGGCAACCAAGTGTTACAGTGCTCGGCTCAGTCGTGCTACTTGGTTTCACAATGGCTTTTGCTTTGCTAGGACACCAGCGCTACTCAAATTATAAACAAGTAAAGAGGACTCCTTTACAAAGTACAGTAAGTTACACCACACAGAATCGGCTCAGCATGAGTCTAAGGTTGAGGATGGACGTTTATGATGTGGAGTTCCTGGGGAGAGGAGAGGAGGCTGTGAGCTAATACTTGGGCTGCTGTGTGTTGAAACAGTCACTGTGCTCACTGGGTTATCATACTTGTCACTCCCTACAGCAAACTTGTTTGCTTGTCTTTTTTCCCAGTAAATGTGAGCCCCTTGAGGGCAACCGCTGTTCCTCATTCATCTCTGCATCACAGGGCCCAGAACTACCTTGCTAACACTTTGAAGATGTAATTAATTGTTTTTAAATATCCGTTGTGAAATGGCAAGGTGATGCTGGTCAGGCATCAGTGAGCTCATTTGAAGATGTTAAGCATAGAGATGCTATTATAAAACCATGCTAGTAGTTCATGTATTCTACGTTTGACTTTTTACATTTCAGTGGTTCACACAATTGACTTGGCCAGCTGTGTAGGAACTCTAGCACATGAGTTTGATTCTCTGAGGGGCCCAATTAACTTTTTTATAGTCCATCAACAAAGGCTGCCCTTCTAACTCCAAGGAGCTGTTCAGCAAATTTGAGATGTCTTTTGTAAGGGAGATCAGGTAAGGAATGCCAATAAATCATGTCAAACTAGGCTTTGTCAATACAGCATGTTTGTTTTATCCATGATTGGTCTGAGGTACATAAAGAACAGCAGATCTTAGAGAAATTTTGAGGAAAACTGTCTTTCTCTGATGTATCTACTTCTACAACACATATGATTGAATAGCTAATAGGCCAGAAACTGTTGTTCTAGGTGCTGGTAATACAAAGATGAGTAAGGCACGGTTCTCAGGGAACAGAACCAACCAGTACACAAGGTAAAAAGTATTACAGATAACTTGACAGAACAGGGCCTCGTGGTCCATGGTGAGTGTGGATGTTACCTGGAATCTGGAGCCATTGCAGGCTGAAAATCGAGATGTGCCCTGGTCAGACTGCTCCCTCTGGCTGCCCTGCAGGGAAAGGGACAGCTGCAGGCTGTATGAGAGCATGAGGGGCCAAACAGAGGTGTTAATGGCCTGAGCTGGAGCAGCTGCTAGGGCAGCCAAGAGGAGGCCGTTGGAGGAGGCGGGGATAGACTCTGTGGACCACACCTGGGAGGCTTCCCCATCGCTCCCATGCTGGAAGGATCTGAACTGACCGATGGCCTGGTGGGGTTACCAGAAACTCACCCATGACCTTATGATTCCAGCAATCAGACCTCATGGAGGAAAGCTAATCTCACTTGCAAAATTGCTATCGACAATCTAGAGAAAGCAGAACTTCTCCAGGGAGGAGACCTCTTAAGGCAAAGGTATCTGTCTTTTTGTCTTTCTGGGCTCTGACAATAGATAGATAGCAATTGGCAAAGTGTAAAATCCACTGTAGGGAACCCCCTCTGTTTCAGCATGAAATTGGCATTTAATTTTATTACATATGTGATATATTTTAAAGTATGAAAGAAATGCATGCTTACTTTTAGTAAATTTGCAAAATAAGAAAAATGCAAATTTAAAATGAAAATAAAGCATAATCTCATTACTCACAACTGAGTATAAAAAATGTTGCCGCCTCCCATTATATTTTCTTCCGTATTTTTTTAACAAAGTCAGAATTGTACCACATATAAAATATAGTATCCTACTCTTCTTCATGTAGTATTATAGCACTTGCTATAATGTATTAAAGACTTGCATGTCTTTTGAAAAAACTCTCTAAATGAAATTTTAACAGGACACAGTATTCCCTTGTATTAACTAATCCCCTGTTTGTATGTGTTTACATTTCTAGTTTTTCAGTGTTGTAAGTAACACACCAAGGCATATGTTAGAACATGAGGCTTTGTCCACGTTTTATTATTTCCGTTGGAGAGATTCCCAAAGATGAGATTTTTGGGTCAGAGTATGAATTTCCAAGGTTCCTAGTACATTCTGCCAAACTGCTGTACAGAAGGTAGCACCAGCTGACATTCTGCTAGCAGTCTTCAAGAGCATAGCCACAGTACACTGTGGCCAGCCTTGATTATGAGCACTTCAAAAATATGTACTAATTTGGAAGATTAAAAATGGGAATCTCATTTGAATATGGGGCTTTCTTGCAGCCAGGCTTTTGTTGACATTCCTTTCCACTCTGGACTTTTAGGAAAACCACCAAAGAGAGCCTGGCGCAAACGTCCAGCGCCATCACAGAGAGCCTCATGGGGATCAGCAGGATGATGTCTCAGCAAGTCCGGCAGAGCGAGGAAGCCATGCAGACGCTAGGTAAAGCTGGGCCTGGGGGCGGGAGCGTCTCCCCGGAACCCTGGCTGCAGAACCCTAGTCCCAGCACCTGCCCTGGGTTCCTCCACCTCTTGCCTTACCCCTGCGACAGCCCCCATGCTTATTCACGTGAGTGGCTTCTCACTTTGACGCTGTTCTCACCCTGAGACATGCCGCTCTTACTTCTTTGTGTTGGTGGTGGGGTTTTTTTTTGTACTTTTAAGAGTTGTGCTAGAAGATCCACATACACCCGTCAGAAACCCGTCAGAATGTTTCCCTAGCAGAAGTACTCCCAGGGGTTCGTGTGAAAAGCAGATCCCCAGGCCCTCCCCTGAGAGTGGGAGCCAGCAGGACTAGGGGAGGGGGCCTGGGAGTCTGTTTGTTATCAAAGGCTCTGGGGACACATATGGCCAGGCAGGCAGTTTGGGAATCATTGCCTGGAGAGATGTTTAGTGCACTGGCTGCCCACTAGTCTGCTGGGACCTCAGCTTACAATTATACTCCCAGTGTCATTTTTATTGTGAGCCCTTTTAAAGGAAATAGTGGCTGTAGGAGAAGCTGCTTGAGACCATCCGGTTCTCGCCAGTAGTTTTCCATCTTGTCTCCCTTATAATGTAGAAGAGCATTGGCCCTTTCTAGGGTCCTCCATATAGGAAAACAGAAAAGAATTTATCCTGTGAAACACTTTTGAAAGATTTCACACACACAGAGACAAAAGTGGAGAGAATGACAAGGAAATCCCACAAACCCGTCACTTAGTTTCAACAATTGTCAGCTCTGGGCCTGTCTTGTTTAACTCCACCTCACTGTCCCCCATCTGGCTTACTTTGTAGCAAATCCTAGGCATCATCTATACATGTCTCATTATGTATCTCTAAAAGACAAGAGATTCTTGAAACAAAAAGCAAATAAAACTACAATACCAATACCATTCCTAAAAATTGTTTGTAATTTTGAGCCACTTTTCTTTCCAGGGTACTGTTCAAACAGGCAGAAGCAAAAGGAAAGCAAACAGCTCATTCCCAAGGACACTCCCTGTGTTTGAAACTTACCTGGGCCTTTAGGCTCTGCTGGTTCCCTCCTCTAAGTGTGTGCTGGGGAGCCGTAGAGAATGTGAGAAAGAGGAGACCACCTGGCCTTTGGGTCAAGAGCTTTTCTGCTCTGATGCAGGTGCCAGGACACCCCACCCCAACACATATATCAGAAACTGATGATATATTGAAGTGATGAGAAGGGCTCACAGATGCTAATTTTTTTTTCTGGGGTGCTGAGGATTGTTCTTGGGGTGCAGGTTTTAGCAGAGATATCTACTGAAGAAAGAATGTAGTTCTTAATCTAATCTTTTCCGTATGGCTTACAAACTCAGCTTGATTTAAAAGCCTATCAGGACCACAGTGTTTTAAAAAAGCATGTTGGGGATATGATATCTGGAATTTGCTGTAAAATTCTAGAAATGGGGGAATTGGGTGGGGGTAGTGAGAAGACAGGATTTCCAGCGAGTTGGAGGTTCTTGGGTACAGGTGATGGGACATGGTACTTCATGATACTATTTTGTCTACTTTGTGATGGTTTAAAATTCTCTATAATATAAAGTTAAAAAGAAAGACCTATTATGTTTTACTTAACAGGGTCTTAAACTTAGGTTTTTGAAATGGCAGCAGACATGGAGAAAGAGGGTTGACAGGGACTTTTGTTATCCAAGTGTTTGTTTTTCTCCCATATCTGTCTTTTTATAAATTCTGTTGTTTCCTCTGATAATTTCTTTTATTTACTTAACTTTTAATTTTGTAAAAAGATAATATGTATTATTACATGGTTAAGGAAGAAAGTCTAGGCCAGCACTGTCCTATGGAAACATAAAGTAAGTCACACTTTAAATTTTCTAATAGGCACATTAAAAAAGTAAAAAAGAAACATATGAAATAAATCTTAATAACATATTTTATTTAATGCATTACATAAAAACTTACCATTTCAGCATGCAGTTAATATTAGAAATTATTGAGATATTTCACATTCTTTTTTTACATACTAAGTCTGTGAAAGCATGTGTGTATTTTGCACTTAGAGACATCTCCCCTTGAATCAGCCACATTGTACGTGCTCAGGTGCCCCCTGTGTCTGTGCCGCACTGGACTGCGCGGCCCTAGACAGGACAAGAGAAACACAAAAAGACAGTGCTCCTTGCTGACCTCCCTCTGGCCCCTGGCCACCAGCTCTACGCCCCAGAGGCAACCACTGTTACCAGTTGTCTTATGTCCTTCTGAGATTCTCCAAGCATGTAGAACACAAGCAAATTAAATATTATTTATCCCCCTCCATCTTTCTTACGTAAATAGGAACATTCCACATACGCTTTTTCACACCTTGCCTTTCCACTTAAGGATACATTTCATCCTATGGATGTTCTTGTTAAGCTTTGTAGGAGATTCTTGCCAGGTAAACCTTCTCACCCAAGTGTTAGGCCCAGATATCTATATTCAGAAGTAAATTTGACATCTAGGCACAGGGAGCCTTAAGGGATGTGTGCCTCTTCTTAGGTTTCACACAGTGGTCTGAGCACAGGTGTCATATCTTTAAACCTACAACCATTGTCCCAGAACTGAAGGACTTGTATGTGTGAGGGCTTGTGGCAGGGTGCAGCCCAACCTTTCGTGATCCCACTGAGAGCAGATCTGACCATCAGGTGGCCTGGCAGGGTGCTCCTCACAGGTGGCAAGACCTAGCGCCACCCAGCTTCTGTGTCTACACAGACCTCAAGTGCCTGACCACGATCACCTGCCTTAGGGTTGTGGCTGGTTCTCTCCACAGTGCTGCTCCTCAGAAGGCTGAAGTTGGTGGTAAGGAAAGGAACCCTCTTCTGCCCTTTTCCCTATGATGTCCACTGTGGAGGTCTTCTGGTGATGGCCGCGTGTCAGTGTATGTAAACAAGCCACATTGCTCTCTGTGCTTGATGGGACCTGGAGGAGTGCTTTTCCCTGTATATCCTTGTTCTTTGCTCCTCAGGAGTGTTCTCTACTCATATTCTTTGCTTCTGGCTCAGAGGAACTTTCTTCAGGGTGCAGTGTTTTTTCCTGGTAACCCAGCCAGAGAGCAAAGTCTTTGAATTTTGTGCTCTATAGTCTCTGAGTGAGGCTCCCTCCCTCTTTTATTTCAGTAAATTCTTCACGGACTATCCTGGATGCAAATGAAGAATTTAAGTCCATGTCGGGGACCATCCAGTTGGGACGGAAGCTCATTACAAAATATAATCGCCGAGAGCTGACGGACAAGCTTCTCATTTTCCTTGCCCTGGCCCTTTTTCTTGCTACAGTCCTCTATATTGTAAAAAAGCGGCTCTTTCCATTTTTGTAAGATCTGCGAGCTGTCAGCTTTTTCCCTTTAAGCTCGGGGGTGAGGATCCATCCATGCCTCTGAGCTCTGTCCCAGGCTGCCAAATGGATCCATTCCCCACAGTCTGCTCTAGTTGCTTAGCAGGTCGGATGGAGATGCAGCTCCCCCTGGTTTCTGCAAGTGGCTGGCTTGTAAAGGGTGAGCAGCTCAAGGGGAGGGAGCCTGTCCTCACGGTGCCTTCAGGGACACAGGACTCCAAGAGCCCTTAAACAGTGTGGGTGGCTGCCACATGGGGCACTCAGAGGCCAGCCTCTGGATTTGATGTTCCTTCTCACTCTCCCTCTCTGGCTGTGGCCTGATGCCCGATCTGGTGGAGGGGAGAGGGAAGGGGGAAAACAGGATGATGAAAACTCATGTCCATTCCTTGAATAAACTTGACTGTATGTAATAGCATGAAATGCAGTTGGTTTTGTAAGGTATCCCTATTGGAATCTGCGGGCCTGTTTTTGATGTTCAGATTTCTAGGATATGAATTTAGATTATTTGTTCATTCAACAAAGAATTATTTAACAATAATCGCATGCAGTGTATTGCAGACACTGCTGACCATTACAGATATATTGGTAAAGTGCTGTGGCTTGTCTCTCAAGGATCAAGAACAAGATCCCACAGGCCCTTAAGGAAAGAGAGTGCAAATAATGCCCACTGGAGGTGGCTCCCAACATGTGAAAAGGCTGAGGCAGATATCCTTCTCTTTCCATGCTTGGCAGCCTGGCTTGGCCTGGCCTGGGGGTGTGCAGTGTCTCAGCGGCAAGCCCATGTCTTCTCTTTGAGGCCTAGAGCTAAATATAACCAAAAGTGTGAAGCTGGTGATAAGCTGAGGCCTGTCTGGGCTGTGAGTTCTATTGAGGCCTGGGGGATAGTAGGGCCGGGTTAGGCCAGGCCCGGAGATGTTAGTCTCCTTGTGCTATAGGCCTGGCTGACCCAGCACATGAAACCCCAGTCTCCCCAACTATTTATAGCCCCAGAGGGCCTCGAGGGGTAATGTGGAGGCTGAGGGAGCATGGGCTTTGCACTTGTTTTAAAAGGTTGGTTTTGAGTCTTGACTCTACTACTAATGGACCATATGACAACAGGCAATTTACCTCATATTACTAAGCCTCAATTTCCCCACCTCTATATAAAGGATATATGGGAGTGATAGTCCATATACATGCTTGTAGAGTCAATTTCAGAATCAAACAAGAATGTAAAGTATCAAGTGCAGCTTCTGTCTGACTGATCAGTGGGCTTCCCCAGGGAGGCCACCTCTAGGAACTGGGCCCCAAGCTTTCCTGCAGCAAACAGGGGCTTCAGGAGAAGCTGGCCTGAGCATCAGAATTTCTGTTTAGATCTGTTTGAGCCAAGGGTATCAACATAAGGCGTTAGTTAGGAAATGCCCAACTGTCACAGGACCAAGTTATAAGAGATTGACTATACACCTCAGACTAACTAGTTTAATGAGCAGGTTCTGAGGTAAACTGTATATATATATATATGTGTGTGTGTGTTTATATTATACACACACATATACACACACACACACACACACATATACTCTCTTTATATATATATCATCCTTAAACAATTTCTGGCCCCAGAAGATAGCGCAAATAATTCCTGCATGTGTCTTAGGAAAACAGAAAAGAATTTATCCTGTGAAACACTTTTGAAAGATTTCACACACACAGAGACAAAAGTGGAGAGAATGACAAGGAAATCCCACAAACCCGTCACTTAGTTTCAACAATTGTCAGCTCTGGGCCTGTCTTGTTTAACTCCACCTCACTGTGCCCCATCTGGCTTACTTTGTAGCAAATCCTAGGCATCATCTATACATGTCTCATTATGTATCTCTAAAAGACAAGAGATTCTTGAAACAAAAAGCAAATAAAACTACAATACCAATACCATTCCTAAAAATTGTTTGTAATTTTGAGCCACTTTTCTTTCCAGGGTACTGTTCAAACAGGCAGAAGCAAAAGGAAAGCAAACAGCTCATTCCCAAGGACACTCCCTGTGTTTGAAACTTACCTGGGCCTTTAGGCTCTGCTGGTTCCCTCCTCTAAGTGTGTGCTGGGGAGCCGTAGAGAATGTGAGAAAGAGGAGACCACCTGGCCTTTGGGTCAAGAGCTTTTCTGCTCTGATGCAGGTGCCAGGACACCCCACCCCAACACATATATCAGAAACTGATGATATATTGAAGTGATGAGAAGGGCTCACAGATGCTAATTTTTTTTTCTGGGGTGCTGAGGATTGTTCTTGGGGTGCAGGTTTTAGCAGAGATATCTACTGAAGAAAGAATGTAGTTCTTAATCTAATCTTTTCCGTATGGCTTACAAACTCAGCTTGATTTAAAAGCCTATCAGGACCACAGTGTTTTAAAAAAGCATGTTGGGGATATGATATCTGGAATTTGCTGTAAAATTCTAGAAATGGGGGAATTGGGTGGGGGTAGTGAGAAGACAGGATTTCCAGCGAGTTGGAGGTTCTTGGGTACAGGTGATGGGACATGGTACTTCATGATACTATTTTGTCTACTTTGTGATGGTTTAAAATTCTCTATAATATAAAGTTAAAAAGAAAGACCTATTATGTTTTACTTAACAGGGTCTTAAACTTAGGTTTTTGAAATGGCAGCAGACATGGAGAAAGAGGGTTGACAGGGACTTTTGTTATCCAAGTGTTTGTTTTTCTCCCATATCTGTCTTTTTATAAATTCTGTTGTTTCCTCTGATAATTTCTTTTATTTACTTAACTTTTAATTTTGTAAAAAGATAATATGTATTATTACATGGTTAAGGAAGAAAGTCTAGGCCAGCACTGTCCTATGGAAACATAAAGTAAGTCACACTTTAAATTTTCTAATAGGCACATTAAAAAAGTAAAAAAGAAACATATGAAATAAATCTTAATAACATATTTTATTTAATGCATTACATAAAAACTTACCATTTCAGCATGCAGTTAATATTAGAAATTATTGAGATATTTCACATTCTTTTTTTACATACTAAGTCTGTGAAAGCATGTGTGTATTTTGCACTTAGAGACATCTCCCCTTGAATCAGCCACATTGTACGTGCTCAGGTGCCCCCTGTGTCTGTGCCGAACTGGACTGCGCGGCCCTAGACAGGACAAGAGAAACACAAAAAGACAGTGCTCCTTGCTGACCTCCCTCTGGCCCCTGGCCACCAGCTCTACGCCCCAGAGGCAACCACTGTTACCAGTTGTCTTATGTCCTTCTGAGATTCTCCAAGCATGTAGAACACAAGCAAATTAAATATTATTTATCCCCCTCCATCTTTCTTACGTAAATAGGAACATTCCACATACGCTTTTTCACACCTTGCCTTTCCACTTAAGGATACATTTCATCCTATGGATGTTCTTGTTAAGCTTTGTAGGAGATTCTTGCCAGGTAAACCTTCTCACCCAAGTGTTAGGCCCAGATATCTATATTCAGAAGTAAATTTGACATCTAGGCACAGGGAGCCTTAAGGGATGTGTGCCTCTTCTTAGGTTTCACACAGTGGTCTGAGCACAGGTGTCATATCTTTAAACCTACAACCATTGTCCCAGAACTGAAGGACTTGTATGTGTGAGGGCTTGTGGCAGGGTGCAGCCCAACCTTTCGTGATCCCACTGAGAGCAGATCTGACCATCAGGTGGCCTGGCAGGGTGCTCCTCACAGGTGGCAAGACCTAGCGCCACCCAGCTTCTGTGTCTACACAGACCTCAAGTGCCTGACCACGATCACCTGCCTTAGGGTTGTGGCTGGTTCTCTCCACAGTGCTGCTCCTCAGAAGGCTGAAGTTGGTGGTAAGGAAAGGAACCCTCTTCTGCCCTTTTCCCTATGATGTCCACTGTGGAGGTCTTCTGGTGATGGCCGCGTGTCAGTGTATGTAAACAAGCCACATTGCTCTCTGTGCTTGATGGGACCTGGAGGAGTGCTTTTCCCTGTATATCCTTGTTCTTTGCTCCTCAGGAGTGTTCTCTACTCATATTCTTTGCTTCTGGCTCAGAGGAACTTTCTTCAGGGTGCAGTGTTTTTTCCTGGTAACCCAGCCAGAGAGCAAAGTCTTTGAATTTTGTGCTCTATAGTCTCTGAGTGAGGCTCCCTCCCTCTTTTATTTCAGTAAATTCTTCACGGACTATCCTGGATGCAAATGAAGAATTTAAGTCCATGTCGGGGACCATCCAGTTGGGACGGAAGCTCATTACAAAATATAATCGCCGAGAGCTGACGGACAAGCTTCTCATTTTCCTTGCCCTGGCCCTTTTTCTTGCTACAGTCCTCTATATTGTAAAAAAGCGGCTCTTTCCATTTTTGTAAGATCTGCGAGCTGTCAGCTTTTTCCCTTTAAGCTCGGGGGTGAGGATCCATCCATGCCTCTGAGCTCTGTCCCAGGCTGCCAAATGGATCCATTCCCCACAGTCTGCTCTAGTTGCTTAGCAGGTCGGATGGAGATGCAGCTCCCCCTGGTTTCTGCAAGTGGCTGGCTTGTAAAGGGTGAGCAGCTCAAGGGGAGGGAGCCTGTCCTCACGGTGCCTTCAGGGACACAGGACTCCAAGAGCCCTTAAACAGTGTGGGTGGCTGCCACATGGGGCACTCAGAGGCCAGCCTCTGGATTTGATGTTCCTTCTCACTCTCCCTCTCTGGCTGTGGCCTGATGCCCGATCTGGTGGAGGGGAGAGGGAAGGGGGAAAACAGGATGATGAAAACTCATGTCCATTCCTTGAATAAACTTGACTGTATGTAATAGCATGAAATGCAGTTGGTTTTGTAAGGTATCCCTATTGGAATCTGCGGGCCTGTTTTTGATGTTCAGATTTCTAGGATATGAATTTAGATTATTTGTTCATTCAACAAAGAATTATTTAACAATAATCGCATGCAGTGTATTGCAGACACTGCTGACCATTACAGATATATTGGTAAAGTGCTGTGGCTTGTCTCTCAAGGATCAAGAACAAGATCCCACAGGCCCTTAAGGAAAGAGAGTGCAAATAATGCCCACTGGAGGTGGCTCCCAACATGTGAAAAGGCTGAGGCAGATATCCTTCTCTTTCCATGCTTGGCAGCCTGGCTTGGCCTGGCCTGGGGGTGTGCAGTGTCTCAGCGGCAAGCCCATGTCTTCTCTTTGAGGCCTAGAGCTAAATATAACCAAAAGTGTGAAGCTGGTGATAAGCTGAGGCCTGTCTGGGCTGTGAGTTCTATTGAGGCCTGGGGGATAGTAGGGCCGGGTTAGGCCAGGCCCGGAGATGTTAGTCTCCTTGTGCTATAGGCCTGGCTGACCCAGCACATGAAACCCCAGTCTCCCCAACTATTTATAGCCCCAGAGGGCCTCGAGGGGTAATGTGGAGGCTGAGGGAGCATGGGCTTTGCACTTGTTTTAAAAGGTTGGTTTTGA